TCTCGGATAAACTCCACCGCTAAAAGCCGAGCTACCTCTTCGCCAATAGCCTTTCTCTTCTGGACGGCGGACCGTCGGAGATGTTCCTTGACAGGTTTTACTTTTGAGTCGACTCTTAGGCGGTGCTTAGCCAGCTCCCTGGGAACACCCGGCATGTTAGAGGGCTTCCATGCGAAGATGTCCCAGTTCTCACGGAGGAACTGGATGAGCGCTTCTTCCTATTTGGAGTCGAGCGTCGTTGAGACGTGAGTCGGAGCAGCATTGGGATCGGTCGGGTGAATCTGAACTGGCTTTTCACCGGACGACTGAAAAGCTGATTCTGAAGCAGGCTTCTTGGCTCGTAGTAACTTACTCGGATCAGCAGTCTTCTGGTACTCTTGCAGCTCGACCACTGCCATCTGAGCATCATCAATCTTTGAGCCTTTCTGAAAACACTCTTCTGCTTTTTTCCGATTGCCTGTAATGGTGATCACACCTTTGGGACCAGGCATCTTCAATTTGAGATACACATAACACGGTCGGGCCATGAAGCGTGCATAAGCCGGCCTGCTCAAAATAGCATGATAGGCACTCTGGAAGTCTACAACTTCAAATGTCACCTTCTCTTTCCGGTAATTCTTGGAATCACCAAAAACCACATCAAGGGCAATCTGGCCGAGTGATTCAGCCTTCTTCCCAGGAATGACTTCATGGAAACTCATGTTGCTGGCGCTGAGTCTGGACATCGGAATGCCCATCCCTTTCAATGTATCTGCATACAATATGTTCAAACCACTGCCACCATCCATTAGGACTTTGGTCAGTCGAGTGCCTTCGACCACTGGGTCGACCACCAGAGCTTGCCTCCCAGGGGTGGCAATATGCGTTAGGTGATCGGACTGGTCGAACATGATGGCAGTCTGGGACCATTTCAGATAATTTGGTGTCGCCGGAGCAACCATATTCACCTCTCGATTGATGACTTTCAATCGACTTTTGCTCTCAACATCAGCAAAAATCACCAAGGTGGAATTGACTTGAGGGTATCTGTCGTCACTGTCCTCTTTGTCCTCGACTTTGTCCGACTCCTTTTCCTTACCCTTGGGTTGCTTACCCGGGAACTGTTGGATCAAGAGTCGACACTGTCGAGTGGTATGTTCCGGGTAAATGAAATTACCCTCTTCATCTTTCTTCGTGTGGATGAGACATGGCAAGTCCAACACACCATTTACGTCCTGGTCTTTAACCTTTTTGGGGTTTCAAGGCCCTTTAGGTTTCCCTTTAAACTTTCCCTGAGTTACGGCCAAGGCTTCCCCGGGAGGAGCTAGCTCGGCTTTCCGCTTCTATTTCCGATTGGAATTTCCTCCGGTTTCTTGGGCGACTGACTTCATGTTGCCGCTCCGGAGTCGATCCTCATCTTCACCATTAGCGTACTTGGTGGCAATCTCCATCATTCGATTCAGGGACATCTCTCCGGTTCGACCAAATTTCAAGCTCAGTTCTCTGTACTTGACGCCCTCCTTGAAAGCACAAACCGCTTGGTGGTCAGGCACATTCTCCACCGAGTGATGTAACGTGATCCACCTCTGGATGTAATCCCTCAAAGTTTCATTTGGTTTCTGTACACAAGACCGCAGTTCCGTCAGCCCTGCCGGTCGCTTGCACGTGCCTTCGAATGTGGTGATGAACACTCGAGAGAGATCCTCCCAAGTGTAAATGCTGCTAGGCGCCAACTGGTTCAGCCACGCTCTGGCCGAGCCCTCTAACATGAGAGGCAGGTGCTTCATGGCCACTTCATCATTGCCGCCGCTGATCTGGACGGCCACTCGGTAATCTTCAAGCCAAGTATTGGGCTTGGACTCGGCAGTGAACTTAGTGACTCCAGTCACCAACCTGAAGTTGGGAGGAATCACAGCGGCCCTGATGGCTTGACTAAAGCACTCTGGCCTCGATACATGCACTCTGCTGTTGGTAGGGGCATCTCTGTCGTGACCTTCTCGGTGAGCCCTGTTCCGGTCGACCAAACCTTGGACGAGAATGGATCTCGCGTCAAAGCCTGGCCCTCTGGGGTCGACTGAAACCCTTCGCCCACCACTATGAGTGCGCCTGTCATCCTGCTGACGAGGCACATACGACCCGCTCCTCAGGGGAGGCGTGGGCACTCGACGCCGACCGTCACGACCGACTCGGTGTTCATAATGTTCATGGTTCCCATACTGGTCACGCCGGTCCCCACGTCCCTCACTCTTCGGGGGTGATCTCGGGCTGTGAGCCGACTGGACTGTGTCCACGGCAACGGATCTGCTGTGAATCCTGTTCCGCGACTGAGAAACAGCAGAATTCTGATCTCCTGCTGCCCGGAGCAACGCTCTGATCTGCAGCAAGCCTCTGCCAGCCTCCGACTGGGAAGGCTGAATCGACTCCGCTATGCGGGATGCACCTGCTAAATTCTGAATCGGAGTTCGATATACCTGCGGGGGCGGGAAAAGCTAACGTCAACTGGATTCGGGAACCCGTTGTCGCGCCCGCTCATCGAGTGCTCGCTAGAGGTTTTCCAGTCAAGCACGCTCGGCCAAATTTGCCAGGCGCGCGTCCTCCAAGGCGCGAGCCTCGGGGGTTTCTCCAATGATAGGAGTGTGTAGTGCATCCATGTTCCGGCGGCGAAGTTCTTCCCTCTGCAGCGACGTGAGAGGCTCGGGAAGATATTCCTCATGGGGACGCGACGGGTCGCCTCCGCCCGTGCCTCCGTCGGTGCGGGGAAAACCGGGAGGACTGGGTGGTCCATCGGCCATCAGAACCTCCGCCGCCGAATCGCTGCTGCCGCACTCAGATGCGGTCTCTGCGGAGCCAGTCGACAGATCGAACAGGCCGTAGAGGGATTCGTCGGGCTCGATCGCCGCGACTTGAGGGATGGCCGACTGACGGGCCACCGCGTGTCTCACCCACCGCTGAAGTCTCGACCGACCGGAGCGCTTGCGCCCGCGGGAAACGGGGATGGAGGACAGCACAGGAGCCGACCGGTAAGGGGTTGACGGTTGCCGCAGGAGAACGCCGCGGACGCACGCGCGAAAGTGCGTTGCCCCGCGGACAGGGAGTGCGTCCACGTCGAGCGGAGCCTCCTAAAGCCAGGCGGAGTCATCGGCGATGAACGTGAGCGCGCCGAGATGGATCTCGCGGCCCTCCACCAAAACTCCGTCGAAAACCATGATGATTCGGGTCGGAAAAGATCGCAACTCCTCCAACAAAACGCTAAAACACCGGCCCCACGGTGGGCGCCAACTGTCGTGGTTCTAAGCCTGACAGTGATGTAGGGGGGTACGTATGGAGAGGCAGGATCTTAGCTGTGGAGAAGTTGTAAGCACGCAAGGTTTACGAGTTCAGGCCCTTCTCGGAGGAAGTAATAGCCCTACGTCTCGGAGCCCGGAGGCGGTCGACTGGATTATGCGTGTATGAGTTACAGAGGTGCGAACCCTTGTCTCGGAGGGGGGTGGCTTATATAGAGTGCGCCAGGCCCCCGGCCAGCCCACGTTACCAAGGGTTCAATGTTCATTAAGGCGAGGCGTTACTAGTAACGCTAGTAATAAAGTGCTATGATGACCATAAAAAGCTATTTAATGACCGACCGTTAGCGTGCGGAGTGACTTTAGGTCTCCTGGCCGTCGAGTGGTTGGATCTTGGTCGAGTGATTGCTTCTTGGTCGAGTGTCTTCGAGTCTGTCGAGTGTCTTCGAGTCTGTCGAGTGGAACACCTTCAAGTCGATTGAAAGGTGATTTCTTTTAGAGATGTCCTCGGGTAGGGTAGGTAGGACAGGTCCATAACCCTACCCTAGGTACATAGCTTCATCACTCACCGCCACATAGCTCTCATGACGACGCCCTCAAAAAGGATACGACGCTAAGAGCATCGTCGCCGCTTTAGAGTTTTCATCCGAGAGACCGTGAGGCGGTAAAAGGTAGGGCGGACCTAAACACCGTCTCCGCGAAGAAAAACCAGCACCCTTGGGTGTCGTTGCTGTCACGGCTGGCAGGAGCTGACCTGAAAATTACCCCAATCTGGATCCCCATCTCCCGCTCCGTCCCAACCTAGTAACCGGCTAGCAGCATGCACGGCCATGTCCGATAAGAAGGAGTGCACACAACATGAGTTAAAGAAAAGAGCAGCTTGGCGTCATTGGCCGCCGAGGCAGCCAGGCGCGGCACCAACCCGCAGGTGAATCGCTAGCCACCTGGTCTGATCCCCGGCAGCCCACTTGCCCCGCAGCGCCACCGGACGGGGAAGGCTCACCAAAGGGACCGTTGTCCCTGGTCCATGGATCGTAGCCGCCGTAGCAGCGGCGAGCAGCCGGAGAAGAGCGCGCTTATAATTTTATATCACTTAGTCGCCCGAAAGACAAACAAATGTAACATACGAGGAATCTTCACACTCTTCAAGAAGAAGAAAAAGGTGGAGAAGAATTGATCGTCCATCCATCCCTACTTATTCATTTGTTCACACATTATGTAGTTCCTTGTCTTTTATACTGCCATTTGTGTACAAAACACAAACCATCTCAAAGGCTGTAGATACAGATCCAAGCGACCCATTTTTCGTTTTTTTTAAGAAAATAATATCAAGAGCTGTTGCATTGCCGCTAGAAATTTGCTATACGCCCCAATCGATTCTTAATGGCTTGTTGCTGTACGTGAGAGCCCATGGCGTCGCCATGTCGGGACAGTCGGGCGTCTCATCTTCCATCAGAAATTTGGCAGCTACAGTCTACAGAGCCGGCCTGCCTGCTCTGTCTCCTCTCCTCTGGCGCCAACTCACACGCATTACACTCCTCTCCGGCCAGTTCGCAGAACCATCCATCCATCCATCGGGCACGCCACGCTCATCTCCAAATCCCTATATAAACCCCTCATGCCCTGCTCGTTCCACTCACACAAACACAAAGCTTCCATCCAGCTTTCTCCTCCTCCTCAACCTTCTTCTAGCTAGCTAGTCCCTAGTTGAGTGAGCGTACTTTTGGTAGCACGGAACGCATGGCTCGCATGGCGGTGTCGGTGCTGGCGATCCTGCTTGCCGCCTCTTGTGCCCTGGCGGCGGCGAGCTTCGACAAGGAGTTCGACGTCACCTGGGGTGACGGGCGAGGGAAGATCCTCAACAACGGCCAGCTCCTGACGCTGGGGCTGGACAAGGTCTCCGGCTCCGGGTTCCAGTCCAGGCACGAGTACCTCTTCGGCAAGATCGACATGCAGCTCAAGCTCGTCCCCGGCAACTCCGCCGGCACCGTCACCGCCTACTACGTAATTAAGCCAATACTCATTCATTCCTCTGCTTCTCCGTCTTGATCCAATGACAGGGTTGCCTAACTTGGTTTGGTTTGGTGTGTGTGAATGTGCAGCTGTCGTCGCAGGGTCCGACGCACGACGAGATCGACTTCGAGTTCCTGGGCAACGTCACCGGCGAGCCCTACACGCTGCACACCAACGTGTTCACGCAGGGGCAGGGCCAGCGGGAGCAGCAGTTCCGCCTCTGGTTCGATCCCACCAACGACTTCCACACCTACTCCATCCTCTGGAACCCCAAGCACATCATGTAAGTTGGTTCATCGCCATTGCTCAACGCCGGCCATGTAGGTACATGGACTGACCCATCGATTTGGTGGTGTGAATAATGCAGCTTAATGGTGGACGACATGCCGATCAGAGACTTCAAGAACCTTGAGGGAAAGGGGATCGCCTTCCCCAAGAACCAGCCGATGCGCCTCTACTCCAGCCTCTGGAACGCCGACGACTGGGCCACGCAGGGCGGCCGCGTCAAGACGGACTGGTCCCACGCACCGTTCTCCGCCTCCTACCGCGGCTTCAAGGCCGACGCGTGCGTGGTGACCGCAGACGGCAAGCCGCACTGCGGCGCCAGCGTGGGCACGGAGGTCGCCCCCGGCACCGGCGCGGCGGGCGAGTGGTACAACCAGGAGCTGGACCTGACGCGGCAGCAGCGGATGCGGTGGGTGCAGAGCAACTACATGATCTACAACTACTGCACCGACCCCAAGCGGGTCGCCAAGGGCGTCCCCGCCGAGTGCTCCATGTAGCCCCATATGTCCACCCAGCAAGCTAGCATTGGTCCGTCCGTGTATACGTCGACCGCCGGAGAAAGGGAAGATGGGGGCGTCTGTATTGTATGATAAATAAGGACTGGTGTGGAGTATAATGTGAAATGTAGCCACGTCTTTGTCACGCTCACGCTCACGCTCACTTGGTGTGTAATATATGCCTCATCTTGTTCTTCTTCATGTTTTTTTTTTGAATCATGTGTTTGTTCTTCATGTGTTTGTTGCTCTCTGTTCCACTTCTTTGCAACGGCTTGGGTAAATTGTTCGTTCCCGGTACGCTTACTGTGTGCTCAACTTATCCTGAGGCTTGACAAGCGAAGCCAGCAGCTGTTACTCAGTGATATACCTTCGCCTTGTCAATCAGTCACTCGGGTGGAAACTGATAGTGATAGGACTACGCTGCTGTACATGCATGCAACGTGACAAAGAAGTCACAGGGCACGGCCGCTGCCTAGAAGAGCACTAGCGCGACAAAGGAAAGGATAGGGGCTCGTAATAATCCGTCAGGTACTCGGGTCCCAGACTCGATCCCAGCTAGCTAGCTGCATGTGGTCAGTCCGGCGTTCGGATCAGGACGAGACCGATCAACGTCCTGTTAGGCTCGTGTGTCAGTTGTTATACACAGGACGCTACACTGATGGCATTTGACAGGCCACTAGGGTTCGCTTCTCTTCTCGTCTCGGACGAGAAGGCCTTATCTTCTTTTCCATCGTCCAGGAACTGTGTCACTAACAGCAAGCTCGTGCTGACATGAGGCTGTCTGAATTTTCTTCTGTACCGTAGGCAAACAATTTCCATGATGCATTTCATTCTTCTGCTTCCTTTTCCAGAGCTACTGCACTGTATTTTTCTTACCTTTCAACTTGAGTGTCGCGTGCTTGTATGCCTCTGCGCCGATCTACCCATGACGGAGCTTAATTGTTGTACTACGTCGCGCAATGATAGACTCAAGAAGAGGAGACCTGCAATCTTGTCTGATTCATGAACTCTGGACAAGGAAGACATAATTGGGTTGGGCGTACCCGGCGTTTATTTAGGTGGGGTATATGCACCATGCTCCATCACGCTGTCTGCTTGCTCCCTGCCTTGACGTATCCTGTAGTATTTCAGACCTGCACGACTTCCTTACCACCGCAGGACCTCCCTACCGTTTCACAGTTGAACGAACCGTTAAAACCAACACAAACCGACCAGGAGATGATACAAACAATAAAAAAGAACTTATTCATCTGTTGGTAGTGCCTTACGAGTATTACTTCTTAAAAAGGAGACCGTTTCACGGAATGTTCTCGAATAAGATCAATGGGTATAGTGTAGAGGAGGTCCTACACTTGCATGACATGACATATTGTTGGCCAGCCTCTCTAGAATCAAAAGATTGCTGGTCCTCTATTTCGTGCAACACATGTTGTTTTGCGCAAACCGTGAAGGGGAAAAACATCATGATTGCTATCACAAAGCCACCAATCCAAGATATTGCATAGGTGTAGGCCATGTTTTCTTAAACATCAGTATAGACACAAACGCTCATATACACGCGTATACACTCATCCCTATGAACGCACACACACACCATACCCCTATGAGCATCTCCAAAAGACTAAGCCGGCATATCATCTTGAAATTTACAAAGTTACCGTAGGCACCTCGTCGTCGACGGGAACGTCTCCTACCACTGAATGTGCATCACCGGAAATCCTGAAATAAATGCGAGCACCAGGATTTAAGTCCTGGTGGGCTGGTGATACCACGGTCCCTCTAACCATCCAACCACAGGTTGGTTCGCAGACCATGTATTCTTAACTATTGGAATGATTGCAAACTAGTATGCATTTGTACCAAAGTTAAATAAGTTGTGTACTAGTAAGGATTCTGATTATTTATATCCCAGGTAGTATTACTTTTTGAGTTGCTTTTTACTCCCTCCGTTCCAAATTACTCGTCGTAAAAATGGATGTATCTAGAACTAAAATACATCTAGATACATCCATTTCTACGACGAGTAATTCGGAACGGAGGGAGTATTTGTTAGGTAGTTGCTCATTATGAGTTTTTGCAACCCTAGAAATTAAAATATGTAATTGGATCACTGCATTTTTAGAAATCTATATTTGCGGATACTTCTTGTGTAATAATGGGTTTGAAAAAATGCGGTTGAGTTGTTTGCACATTATGAAGCATTGCATCGTGCATAAATTTGCTAGATAATTTCTGATTTTAGAATTATTCAGGATTTCTTCCGCATTTTGAAACATCAAGCGACACATTTAGGATTTCTTCCACAGTTGAGTTTGCCTGTACATTAAGAAGCAAGTTCATGAGCGATCTTATTTGCTTCTCTATTACAATGTTCAAACCTAATAAGAGAAAAATCACACGCCATAATTGTTTTTTATTACAATGTTCAAACCTAATAAGAGGAAAATCACATGAGTAGTGTGTTTGTTTGTCCATTTCAGTACATGTGTAGTCATATTGAAATATCTAGAACTTCTTATATTTGTGAAAGGAAGGAGTGCTTCAGTAATGTGAATCTACGGTAGGAGTACGTGGGTTGGACTTGCGTCCATCCAACCGGAGTCTCCCCATAATCAGTACACCAGGCCAGGTGAGTAGAGCAGGGACAACTGGACAGTGGGCCCACGAGGCCAAACTTGCCAATGAATTTCAGGGACTTTCAGGCACCGGTGGCATTGCATAGCGATTTTGGGCTAATTCAGGGACCAGGTCGTCCCCAGCCGTATGCTACCCCTTTTCCGCATAGACACTAGCCGTGGAAGTTCGGCGCTCGATGGCAGATCACGCCTTCAGATAGCCCTCGTGCATGGCCCTCTCGAGCTCGCCAATGTGGGAGGATTCCGATCGTCGGACGCTTTACTGTCATGCTCGAGCTTTCATCAAGAGTTTCCATTTTTATCTAGGAATGCAGTTTCTGGCTGCCAAGATGAGCTTGGCGTGTGCACGGACCGCATGTGGACACATGGCGTGAGATAATTGGCCAGGCATCCTGCACACATGCTAGCCATGATTAACTGATACCCATCTGGAACGAGAACCACCCGGGTGGAACGAGATTGAGATCCACACTGGCAAACATAGAAGATCACTGACGATCACTGACGGGGTGATGAGAGCTTTCTGAGCGGACAATTATCGCATGGTTGCTGTAGCCTCAGTTACAGTTGAAGCCGGATGGCCATAGTCCGAGCTGTGTCCAACTAAACTAGCTACTGGAGTACCCTATAACTAGTGGCTAATGCTTTGTTTAAGTTGAAGGTTTACTTATAACTTTCGGTACTGCTCCAGCTACGAAGTGACTGAAACCCTGGACTGTCTTGGTGCTGTACCGTGAGTCTGAATCATTAGCTAGCTACTGTCCGTAGGCAGTACTCCCCACTAGTACTAGGAAGAAATAGTAGTACTACCTCTCTCTCAGTTTACAGGGCGTATGCGTGCTCTTAGGTCGTCAATTTGATCAACCTAATACAAGTCATATATTATAAAAAATATAACAATATAAATTTCAGATGTTCTATTTTCAAACCGTATAATTTTTATGTTATATAATTTATATTAAAGTGATAAAATTGATAACCTAGGTATACGCGTAGGACTTGTAAACTGAAACGGAGGTAGTACTACATATGGGAGTTTCATTGCGATGTCAAACGGTGATAAATAGGGAGCAGAGGTAACATAAATAGCTGAACCGTGATCCAACCACCACTTGGCTTCGAAATGATTTGGCCACTTCATTAGCAACTGTAGTACTAGTACACGGGACGAAGGTGGCGCATCAGCAGCTTGGGTCTCGGGTGTTTTGATCGGTCCTCGTCTCGTCGGTGACAGGGGAGACCTGCGGACGCCACTGCTGCCTGGAAACGATCATGAATCGGCACGGCCCGGGCGATGGGTGAGTGGACGTGGATGGGATGAGCTCGTGGCGACAACGCCTGCCTGAACAGCGCGCCGACGACTTGCGGCGACAGAGGCGAGGGCGGATGCAGCTATTCCGCCGGCACGATGCTGCTGCCGACACATTCTCGTGGAGCATATTTCTCTGTCGTATGATTCCTTTGGTTCCGGTCTCGGGGGGACGTGGCCTTATGGTTCTACAGGCGCAAGATGGGTACGATAGCGTGGCTTCATAGCTGCAAGAGATGGATAGCGAGAGATAAAAATGACCCTTGTTGCTAGATGGAAAATTGAAAATGACTTATTTTCTCTCCATCGATGCGCACACGTCGATCGCCGGAGTGCTCCGTCTTGTCCTTGTGTCGCCGGAGCAGCACGGCCGGAAATAGAGTATAACGTATTTCCGGATGCAAAGAGGCGTTGCGCGCAGCCAGTGGACAGTGCTGTCGCAACTCCGGTGCTCCACCGTACATGCAAGAACATTTTGTTCTGCTTTGTGCACCGGGTGCGCTGCATGCCTGCACGGACGTACGTGGGTCAGGGCAAGGCATGGGCGCAGCTCACTACCCGCAAGACGACGCGAAATGGCGACAGAGGAAAGGACGAGGGCTTCGTTCCTAACTATCACCTCAGGTCCCAGCTATCCCTACGTCGTCTTCTTCACTGCCACGCTTGCTAGACTGTGAAATGCATGCGTGTACGTTCAAGCTTCGAGGCCTTGTTACTTGTTACTCCCTCCGTTCCAAATTATTCATCGTAGAAATGAATATATCTAGAACTAAAATACATCTAAATACATCCATTTTTACAACGAGTAATTCGAAACAGAGAAAGTACTTTAGGATTGATCTAGATCAGCAGAACCGATCAGGCTTCAGGCGCCTATCTTCTCGAGATCCGAGTGTACAGTACGTGAGTCACACGACGATCTAGCAATGCCGTGCAGCTGGCTACTTCTACCCCCAGTTTCAGGGGAGAGCTCACGTGCTCTCGTTCCTTTTTTTATTATTATTAGCAAAATGGCCCGTGCGTTGCAGCAGGATAAAAATATTACTCATTCTTAT